TGTTCTTAATCCAAATGTGAAAACTTTTAGAGAGTTTATTTCTGACAATATTCATGTTTTGAGTTGAATGCTGTTATTCCTAAGCCTCTTATATAATGCTAAGTATTCGTACAACGTTCAGTATTTTGGTTAAAACTGACTATTACCTTTTTTTTATTGTTGTTTTTGCCTAAGTTTGATTCAGGATAACCACAACTAACATCACAGTTTCATGGTACTTGAAAGAATCCAGAGAGTTGACTAGATAAATGTGCAAATTAATTAAAAATCAAGGGTTATGCTATTGTTTACTGTAAACATAATTTACAAATTCAGTGAGTTTGGAAGCAACACCTCATTTATGCAGTCTACTCGAGACCAAAACACAACAGCAGCAGGTAGTTGTTTGTGAAGGGCACTTCAATTTATAAAATTAACTTACTTTGCATACATTGAATCTTTAAGCTGAAAGGCAACACAGAACTTCCAGTTGCAAGAAGCTAAATAGGTGTTATGTTGTTCACTTGTCTTGCAAAATTGATGTAATTTAGTACTTTCCTTTGTGTACAATGTATGCTAATGATTATTAGTTTCTTTGAAGGTACAGAAACATGAGTAGAAACAATTATTGTATCTTTTTCTGTTACAACAACTGGTACTCTGCTAGTCACCTGTGTGATAGTACTTGAAGATTTTGAATTACATCTTAAGTTTAAATGCTCTGAAAAGACCTGATTTATAACAATTAGTGATCTTTTCTTTGTATTGCAATACCCATAGAAGAGTGATCGGATTACTGTTCCTTTTCCTGATTGTTTAAGTGTGTAAAATGGAATCCTGAATAACTTCTCAGAACTGAGGGGTGGCTATTACTATCCATTCTGAACTAGTTGCTACTTTAATTGCTGAGTGTAACTTTCATTTACAGTTGCATTTTCTTCCACTTTTGCTTTGTATTTGAAGAAAGAAATGTTTTGGGATCTTTTTGTTGTTGTTGTTGTTGTTGTTGTGTTTTTTTTTTTTTTGAAATACAGGATTGTCCACGAGGATAAAATTTGTGTCCTTGAGACACAAAAAATTAATTTGTAAGAATAAGCAATATGAATTTGTTTCCAGTTACAACCAACATGTGGACGGAGCCTTTGTGCATGAGATAGATCACAGTGATGGGGTGTACTAATACTAGATTAAAAGAAGAATCAGTTCCACATTAAACTGTTGTGCTTTTTTTTTTTTTCCCCTCAGTAATAATTCTGTGACAGATTAAGTTGCTGATTGTTGTGATTTAAACTGTTTTGTTTTGATGTTGTTTATAAGCGGAAAGTTCATTGTGTGGATCTGTTTTTGTCTGCTTCTGGGAACTTCTATGTATATTATAGCTCTGAGAAGATTACAAAACTGGATTTTTATTGCTGCTTTTCTTTATTGTGGTGTACTGGAAACAAATCTGCATATTTCGTAGTGATGGGAGCTATAACATGGAAATCATAATTGCTTTAATTCAAACTAGGGCATAAAAAATGGTATATAATGGAGTTGAGGCTATGTATTTGGAACAAGCAAAACACCTAGGTATCAGGACAAAATGACTAATTGGGAGAAACAGAACAGCAGAGCATTACAGGACATACATGTGTAGCTGCTGAAACTGCTGACTGGATGAGGATTTGCTGCTTCAGTTATGCAACAGCCATCTTCCAAACTCACAATGGAGTGGTATTCTTTAATGACTGTGTGCCAGGGGGATACAGGGAGATTAATGTGATGGAGGAATTCTGTGAGGAAAACCAGTTTGTGGAGTATAAATACATTAATGGAATGGAAATTGCATCACTATGGTGGAATAATACCAGGATGGAGTTGTCTTTATTGAAGGACAAATGAGGGATCCTTCTGGAAGTAGGCAGTATTTTGAAATGAAAGCTTAAATGGACAGGTCTATTTTGATTATTTTTAACTGAAAACTTACATGGACTAATCATTTTGATTCTTCTGTGGCACTCATTACCATCATACCTGTGTGCATCGGTCTGCACTTGGATAAATTTATATGAATTAAATTAGCCTACTAAAAAGTCTGCATACCTGTACCCTTACAAAAATCACTGTAATGTAAAAGTTATTGAAACGTACAACTGAAGTGGGAAATGAGGGTCAGGCTGCATGGCAGTAGTTCGGTCTGGCCTTGTGTCATGGAAGATTATAGAAAACGCATGTTACAGAGATCACACAGGTTCTGATACTGAGCAGCATCCGGTTCATCACAATTGTTAGACCAGGTATAACCTTGTCTTCATGTTGTACCAGTCTGAAAGCAAAAGCTTTTGTGGTCAATTTTATATTTCATAGGGTGCAACAGAATTGGACTCATTCATGTGTTTTGGTATTTTCTGTTATGAAAGTCTTCTTTGTTTTCAAACCATATAGGCCTGAATTCTAGTGTGATGCCACTGATTTATAAAAAATTGCATGTTGCAATTACTGGAGAAGTTGATTATTTCAGTGGATTATGGAACTGTATGTAGTACAGTTACTGATTTCTGAACTAGATCAAATAGGTCATTTCAGACTAACATAACAGTCTCGGCTGGGTAGTTGTTTTGAATATAGGTTGTAATTCCCTCCTTCCTGTTCCCTCACATGCCTTCTTGTAGAAGCACATCAGGGGCCATTTTATTTCCTTTGTGGAAGACTGCTAATGCCTTGTTTTTACAGCTATTTTTCCTATCATACTTCTGTGGGTAATTTTTAAGTACCTAGATTTGCAAATATATTGTAACCTGGGGCTTTCTGAATGTTACTTGATGGTTTTCTGCAGGCTGTTTGATAAACAGTGTCTTCTAATGTGCAGGCAAGTGTAAGAAAAAATAAACATTTTATACATAGAGAGCTATCTAAATAACATCTCTGCTCCATATGTTGTAGTACCCACGAGAGGCTCATTATAATCCCTGGACCTTTTGTGCACCAAATACTTCAGTCCAGATATTGCTGTGCTCCATCTGCCTTAATCTCTAAACTGCACAATGTGAAATTCTTAATGCTTTGACCTGCTATATGCTAGCATTTTTGATCTTGGATTTTTCTTGTCCATGTTGCCGTTTCAAACAAGTTTTCAAGGTTGCTGCTTTGAAGTTTGTCAGTTCTACTGAATTATTCTGTTGTGTTGGTTTTTTTTTTTTTTTTTTTTTTTTTTTTTTTTTTTTCTTCCTTAAACCAAGTGTAATTTACAAATGCTGTGAAGTGTATGCATCTCTAAATTATTTTTTCTGTGGTTTATGTGTTTGGTTTTGTCCTGCCATCTTTTAAGTGTTGTGAATTGTTGATCTTATTCAAGGTGTCACTGACTGGGCAGGGATCCAGAAATATGTGTTGGTGAAATAATTTTTTTCAGCAAAGAACCGCTTGCTTTACTGACATGCATTTATACCTGCTGTCAGCATAAGCTAGACACCACATTGGATTTCAGAATTTCACTCTGGAAACATGATGCTCTTAAAATCTACAGATATTTTAGAAATCTTTTGAATTTTACATGCCAGAGTGTTCTGTGCAGTATCGTTAAACATTGATAATTCATAGAGATCTTATTTTTAGAAAGCATTCAAACCAACTGTTACTTACTGATTTATTACTTGGATGGATTTACAATTTTAAAATAATATGTATGATTACCATCTTTTAATGTTTATATATTAGGAAATCATGTTGTGTCTTTCAAGTTTATTATCATATCTTTACATACCTATGAAATAATTAGCTTCTTGCCCTTAACATTTTTGTTGAGTGCTACTGTTCAACACTTCCTCAGATTCTGTATGTTTAAATTTAAAGCTGTTAAGAAAGTTGACTGTCTTGGAGGATAGTCTTCTTTAAAAAATAATTAAAATGTAATTTAAAGAAGCATTAGAAGTAACTTTGTAACCTCTGGTTCTAAAAATAAAGTAGATTAGAGTTTTGGAAAAAGTAATTTCAATCTTGCTAAAATTTGTAATTCACTTTGATGGTTGGACATCAAAATTTTTATGTATAAATGATAGGCACGTGACATGCACTTTCTATAAGCCCTTACATTTGATATATAAAATGATATTTTTTATAAATACATTCAAAATAATATGTTTATAGTATAAATTAAAAATTAATATAAACTACAAAATTTCTCTTATTATAAATATAAGCATCCTCTATAATACAGAGAAAAATGTTTTAAATTGAAAGTTATGGCAATATTTCCTTCAGTCTTTCCTCCTTTTTTCCCCTTATTTTCTCCTAAGGCCACCTAAGTATAAGAAAAGAAAACACTGCACGTTTTAATCAAACAGTATTCATCAGTTGAGTATTATCCATTCATGTGTACAGTTACTGGCAGAAGATAACGCTGCGAACTGTCTTCTGCTGCCCACATTCAAGCTCTTCCCCAGTGGCAGTGCAAGACAACTTGGAGCCCCTCTTACTGAAAGAGTGATGAGTAACCTTCTGTTTGGTGGCAGTTGGATGATGAATGGTTGTGTCAACAGTTGCATGGCAACTCTGCAAGTGTGCGTACTTACCCAATGGTGCGTGCTTGTCTGTGCTTTTTGGAGGGGAAAGATTATGAAAAAGACCTGGCAAAGATGTGCACGCTCTTCAGCGAGATACTGACATCTAGTAACTTCTTACCCTTGTGTTAAAAATGCTTTGTTATATGGAAGGACTTAACCTTAAAGATGGATTTGTTTTTAAGTAGTTCTTCTCAAACTGTTTAAGAAGTGCGTGCATATGGTTACTATCTTTTGGGAAGAAGAGCTTCTACAGTAGGGCAATCTACAGGCCTGCTCACTTCGTGTATTGGGGAAAAGCTGCCCTTTGCTGTGAGAGGTGGGGAAACAGGAAACTTTCAGAATGTAGTGTGTGACTGGAAATGACAGATTCATCTTGGTGCGGATGGAAGATAAAACCAGTGGTTTCATCGGTTGCCTAGTGGAGGAAGGAAGGGAAAGAGGGAGGGAGAGAGGAAGGAAAGTAAAAAAAATATTTCAGAGCAAGTAGAGAAGTCCTTCAGCACAACAGCAGTTGATGGCTTTGGTGGCCTTGCAAATGGATTGCTTGTAGGGGTGCCGTTGGTGTTTTGCCCCTCTTCATTCATACTGTGCTTTGTAATACTGTATGTCACCAAAACCACAAAAATAGGACCTGAACTCTCAGCTTTGTCCACAGCCATTTAATGCTCCTGGTGTTGCCTTGGCCAAGTGATGTACTGAGAATGTAGCATTTTGTCTTAACTGTTGTTTTAACCTGGCTGCTAGATTCTGTCGCTGTTAATTAGCTTGTAGTTCTGGGAGGGTACGGTGCTCTCCTGTTGATTGTCTGACCAATGGCTTTTTTTCAGACACTAGATTTTCCTGTGGATACCAGCACGGGGCTTTTGCAAGAAGTTTACAGCAATATCTGTCAGTGGATTTAGTACAAGGGATGGGGTGAACATTCATGCTTCATTATTAATAAAAAATAGATTTGACTATGAGGAATTTAAAGAGTAAGTAAATTAGTCTGATTTCTTAAAGTTTTAAAAATGTCTCCTAAATCAGTCATATTGTGATACATGTCGGGCAATGTCTTTCAGCTCACAGAGCAGCTGTAGAGAACATGGTGGATATGTTTGTGGGCAAGGTATCAAAATTGTATTTTGAGGATGACGTTGCTGTTAGAGTGGAGGAAGTCTGAGATACGCTAGACCTCGTGGCAGAGGAGTAGAATTCCAGCCAGAAAACTCCTGAGGCGAAGTTCAGAATCAGTAGGTTGAGAGAAGGGTGTTAAGGTGTATGAAATAGTATAGTTTGTTAAATAGTAGACAAAACCCTGATTTTTAGAGATTCTGTTTTTATGTGGAATAATTCTAAAGGTAAATCTGTGCTGATTGAGGCAATAGTCTCTTTTGGTGGATCGATTCCAATAACAAGTTTGTAAACGATAAGCTGAAAGTAAAGCATTTTAACATTTGCCTTGAATTGAGGTTTTTATTCTGCTTCACAACCTATTTCAAATTCTTTGTGAAAGCTGTTGATGCAAATAGAAAATATTTTACTGAAATGTGCATATAGAAAATGTAATCGAATTGCAAGCATTGAGTACCTTTAGACTTTTTACTAGTTAAATTTATGTTATGAGCAAGAGATAGATGGTGAAGTATTTCCATTAAAAAAAAAAAAAGTAAGATTTAAAACATTGTGAAGGTGAATGTCAGAAGTAACAGTAGAGATGTTTCTGTCTTTTACAAGACAGATCTTGTCATTGCGAAGCTATTATTATCTGTGAAGAATTTTAGTGAAGAATATGCTGATGCGTTACTTTTTAGAGCTGGATTTCCTCTCTTAAAGGGTAATGCTTTATGGAATTAAGAAGCCATATCTGTTGCAGAAATACTGCTCTGAGTCCTATTTCACCAGAGTGATTTGAATTTGTATTTTGCATACAAATAGTTCATCACTTCCATATTTCTGAAAATGCAACAAAGAAAAAATGATTATATAGTGAAATTATAAATATTCTGTTTGTGAAAGGATTGAATGAAACTGCATGTATTTATGTTTTCCATTATTTTGGTTGAAAAATAATTCTGTGTTCTTGAATATAAACACATTGGAAGACTCAAAAGTTCTGGGCACAGTCTGTTTTCTCCTTCTTTTACTGTCTGTCAGAGTTAGGATGTGATAGAGGGAGCAGGGACTCCACAAACTGATCTTGTGTGGGGTCTGTCAGGGATTCATTAGGTGGAAACAGCAATTTAAATTGGATTTGCCAATAGGTGAAGAGCAACATTTCTTCTAATGAAACTGCAGTTACATAACGTAGTCATGTACCTTTGTAGCAGTACCTGGATATTCAGCTTGTTTTTCAGAGGTATAACTAATGCGATCAAGCAACTTGCATTTCAGTGTACTTTGTAGGTATTTTTCAAGAATGTTCAGTGGTTCAGGACTAAACAAATAGATGAGAGATAGCATAGAAAATGATGAGTTGGAGTGGTATAGTCCCATGTGTCATTGCTTAGCTGCCAATATGCAGTCTGCCAGTAAGCTTTTAAGTTTCTGGTGTAGTAGCGAGCAAGGAGACATTGTGTTACCACACGTCCCTCTGATATACGTGGCAATTTGAATTGATTTTACATGTTTGCAGTTACCACAAGTGTGGAAATGATGCATTTGTGCATTTTTATGTGTGAAAATATTTAATAAAGAAATGGTAATGTGTTGCAAATAGTCAGCTTTTCCTTATGTAAAAACAGTCTGTCTTTAGGGGTCACAATATCAGTGTATGGAGAGAAAATTATATACAGAATTTTGGTTATAAACTCTAACTGAATGCTCTGTAATTGGTTATTTCAACCTAGTTGATATTTTTATTTTTCAGAAATACATAATTTGGTTTTTGTCTGGTTATATCAGTTTGCTTCTTGCTTAGCTCAACTGTTATCATTGAGTCATTTTTATCAAGTACTTCTGCTAGCACAGGATCACAAGAAGTGGTCACATTAGCTCAGGGGTAAATGTCAAGTATCAAGCTCTCCTCTGTGGAGTAGACTTAAATTCTGATGAGGATTTCTGTTCTTTTTCATGCTTACGTGCACATTCCTTTTTTTTTTTTTTTTTTTCCCCCACTCTGGATATTAGGAGACTCTAACAGATAATATAATTAATGTATTCTTAATTGCTCCTTGTTGAATTGCTGCAGTGTTGTTGTTACCTAAAATTTGTTTTATAACAATTTTTTTTTATTATTTATTTTCTTCATATTTTTCAGATAATGGCACAGGCTCAAGGTTTGCGGAAGAGATACATTAAAGCCTTTTTTAAAGGTTTCTTTGTTGCTGTTCCAGTAACGGTGACTTTCTTGGATAGAGTTGCCTGTGTAGCAAGGGTGGAAGGAGCATCAATGCAGGTATTACTGGAAATGTCTTTTGTCTCTCAGGAAATTAAAAAGTCACTGTCCACTGACAATAGCAAGGTGGAAAAAAATCTTTTTCTCAATTGTTACTAAATGATCATATTGTAGTAGGGAATAGTTTAATTTTGACTTTGTTAAACAAATACTGTTATCATGTGGAAAAAAAAGCTTTTGAGAACAAAAGTAGCCAAAATTCTGTCTCAGTAAAAGGAAAATATATAGATAACTAGTGATAAAAAGATATTTTTTTTTATATCTTCCTATTTATTTAGAAATAAAGATTTGTTTTTTGAGCACTACCTTTTGTCTCTTGGGTTTGAATAGATGACTCACAAAGAGGCTTTATTAATTTTTAGTAGCTGTATTATAGTAATTGTAAAGCAAAATTGTTCCTGCTGTACTTGCTCTTACTAATGAACAAATATGGCACCATTTCAGTGAAGAATACTGAAAATGGCATGAACCCAGTATTAATAACCATGCTTATTGGGACTTAAGTGTCAGTTTACTGGTTTTACTTTGGGTATGGTGAATGTGTATACAGTGAAAGCAAATATAAACAGGCTGTATAACATTTAGTAGATAAATAAATACTCATGATAGTGAACAGCTACTTTGTTTATTCTGTTATTTGGACTTGAAAAATATATGTTGTAATGTAGTTAGCCAATTTTTGTATTGTTACTTTGCATTTTAAATCATATGCTCTGCATATTGCTGTGCATCACCACTGATAACTATAATTTATTTTGTTCCAATGTTGTAGCATTCCAATTAGCAAAGCTAAGGATTTGGTTCTTGATGCCAAGCATTCTTGTCTGATTATCCGAGTAAGCTCAGAACCTTGAAGAGAGGTTTCACAGCAATCCAGACCAGCTGCTGGAAGTTTGAATTGTGCAGTGTTCATGCAGACAAAACGGTCTAGAACCTGGACTTGGTTGATCTGTGTTTAATGCTATAAAAAGCATGAGGTGGGGAGTAGGGAATGGCAAGGTGGCACTGTGCCTTATGTGGCAGTCTGTAATCTGGTGTTTAACCTCTGTCAAGAAACCTCAGCTGGTCTAGAAGGCTCTCTCCTCAAGAACAGGGATCAAAGTAAAATCATCATACTCTAGTAATTCTATAATCCAAGACCAGAAGATAGAGGTGTAACATAAGCTACTTTGCCCCTTTAATGAATGTTATTCTGAATATTGCTGATGGCCAATCAAAGGTAGGAGAATCTCAGGGTTTACAGTTGCAAAGCCAGAAATTTGCATTAGAAAGGAGGAGAGGAGTGGGAAACTGTGAAAACCAGCTTCATTCTCTATTTACTATCTTCAGACAGGGGAAAATAAAATATAACACAGCATCTAGGTAAGTACAGGTGAATACAGCTCTCCCATTTTCCATCTCCCAATTCTTTGTTTCTGTTGGTATCTAGAGCCATGTGCAGCACTGGGGATGCAGATACACTCTGGATTTTGTGGTTTTCTTTTTTTTTTTTTTTGGCTTTTTGTTGATTGCTTTTGTTGTGGTCTTTGTTTTCTACTAATGAGCATGACCTGAGCATTTAATTTTTGAGGGTTTGTTTTTTTAGCATGCCACATTGCCTTTCATTGTTTGGTCTTTTCTGTCTCTGATGTAGCTTTCTGTTTGACATCCATTCTTGTTTGGATAGTTTTATCTCAGTAGCTGGCAAGAAGTTTTCTAGGTCTCCCTACTTCACAAGTCTGTTAAGCCCCTCTGGTCAAGACCTCAGTTTTCTGTTTCCTTTGAAGTTGAAATCTCGTGTTAAGGAATGCTCTGGTATTGTTCTGGAGTGTTGCTTCTGTACTTCACTTGAAGGGCATATAGTTAACTGGGGGCTTATCCATGGAAGATTTGAAAAACACTACAGTTATTTGCTCAGATTTATTCAACCTGACAAAGAAGAATATGCATTCTTCGTAGTGGCTAGGGAAAGCAATATATATTGACTGGGTGATTAAAATTTAAGCTTTTCTCTCGATGTGTCTGTTGACTAAACATTCTCTCTTTTGATTGAAGTATGGGTAGCTTGAAAACTGACATTTCTAATTTTACTGACATCTCAGTGCCTGTAAAATTATCTCTCTGGTTTTATTCTGGACTGTAGCACTGGAATAGAAGTTTGTCTTAAACTTCTATGCATATAGATGTTTTTCAAACTACAAAAACAACTTCCTAGTGCTTTTAATAGCATACTAATTTCCTTGCCAAGATTTATTAGACACCTAACTAAGTCTGACAAGGACATAATTATAAGGAATATATCCCTCTCTTGCAGGGTAGCTTGGAAGGAGTACTGGTCATCGTGTTGCAATTCCATCTTATTTGCTGTGTTCTCTGAAGAGTGATCTGTGTTGAATGTATCTGAAAGCTATGGGTGTGAGGGAGAGTGAAGTTCAGTCAGCATGTAGTCATATATCCATCAATGACATGCTTCCAGTGATATCTTATTGTCTCAATTTGAAGATATCATGGTATGATTCCCAAGAATTTGTTTGTAATAGACCTCTAAAATGTCTAGCTGGCTTTGTGTACTCATCATTGTGGCTCCTGCTGAGCCTGAAATTAAAAATTCTGACAAGAAGCAAGGAATAAATCTCTCTGTGTCATGCTCGCTCTCCTACACGTTTTCTCTGTTGCGTGCTCTCTCCCCTCTCACTTTCTGCTTTTGTTTTGGACCAGCCTTACTTCTGCTTCATAGTTACTGGGGATGGTAATATTTTTTGACACCCTGGCAAGCACGCTGAATAAAGGTTCTAATGAAAATACAAATTTTCTGATTTATTCCCAATCAATTAAGACAGACTTCATGCATTTCATTGTCTCAAGCTGATTTTGTGTTTCTACAGTGCTTTCAGCCACCTGTCATAATTTTTTCATTTGAGCTGACTTCACTATGTACAAGTATTAACTCTAATCTGTAGGGAATAACAGTGAACTATTGCTGTTTATAATTTTAATGTTTTCTAATTGTTTCATTACCTTATTTTTTTCTTTCCAAAATTACCTTTTTTTTTTTTTTTTTTTTAAATCCTCACATAGGTTGGTTTTGTTGCTTAGGATTTTACAGATTAATGTGCTTATTGTTAATAGTGGGTATCAAGTGAGTTGTAATCTTTTTACAACACTGAATGTAAGTGACACAGATAACTGGTAATATGACTTCTTAATTGGCTGTTGTGGATTTTTTTGAGACTCCTCTTGTAATGCTGGATGTATACTTTAACACATTTGTTATCATATGGACATATGATAACAATCCAGTTCTGTTTTTTTCTGTTGAGTTTTATTGCTTGTCTAGTATTATGAACTCTTCATACACAATGATGTGGAAAAGGGAATCCCCCATGGATATATAATTTTGTAAATTCATTAAATCAAATGGTCTTTTTTCAAGTGAGTTGGAAGACGAGACTGTATGTGCAACTTGATATGCAAGTTCTATTGCAAACAGTTCAATACTAAGGATTATAGCAAGTAGCCTGACCAGCGATCTCTGACAAAGCACACTTGTTTCAACAGCAAACATTATTGAATGTTCTATTCCATTATGTATAATAGCAGTTGTAATTATTCTGTGGCAGTTTCTCCTAACTTTATTATTAGGATTACTGTACCTAAGCCTGTGAGCTCATGTGAATATTCTTTCTGTTCCCCAAGCTATAAGCAAATAAATTGTGACCTTCTGGTATTCACTAGCAGCATAACAACTATCAAGTTAATCATGATTTATAGTAAAAGGGCATGCTTTTACCCTCCTACTTATGGAACCTCATGTCCTATGAGGCTTCATCATATGGCTGGGGATCTCAATTTGCATGCTTTTAGCATTAGATTAGTTCGTAATTGGAAAGAGTGAATGTTTTGTGACTTCTGCACCACAGTTCTAAATTAAGACCTGTGTGTCTCATTTCTAGCAGGCTGTTATGCCAAGAACTTGGGCAAACAAGCTATAACGCTTCAAGACAGAGGAAGGAAGAAGCCCCTGTATTATTTTGTTTCTGATAAAAATAAAGAGCCCTTGTGAGCCTATTTGTTGACTACTTTTCAGAAGCTGTATTTTTGTTTTGCTAGAGCTGAGACCTTACTACTAATAAAATTGTCATGGGAAATAAGTTGTCTCTGAACACACTGCATTAAATTATTTCTGTATTTTTTTGTTGTGGAATCACAATGTATGTTATTTACATTAGAGAAAGACTTGCTGAAGGATTTAGATGCTTTTTTTTTTTTTTTGATGGAAAAATGTAACTTGATGTAAAATAAAAGTTGCCTCCTAGTTTTCTCTACATTTCTTACATCAAAACAGTATTTTTGTCTATGCATTTTGAGTGTGTCAGATTGTTTTGTGGAAAAGAAAAAAAATATTCTACATTGTCATAATTCTCTCAAACATAATTCTAATGTGTAATGAGTTGGATATCCACTCTGTGTGTCAAAACCACATAAGCAATGTATTGTTAAAAATAGCCAGCAATATGGTATTATGAGTGCTTTAAGTTAAAAAGATTATGCAATATCAAAATGTATCTAAACTCTAAAACATTTCCTTTGTTTACATACAGAAAACAGTAAGAGTCAACTGGGTTAATGAAACTAGGGCAATACTGTAACTACCTGGTCTATTTCTCTGTAAGGTGAAGTTGGTACAGATTTAGTTGAGTGGAAATGTTGCTGAACACTCATGTGAATCTTTTCTAAGTGTCAGCTATGAAACACATTATCTTTTGAAACAATGGGTTTAAAATTTTCATTTTGTTTTGACCTTTTCTTTGGGTCTTTAAGGTAGATACTTTTGAGTACCAAGCAGTTTACTTTGTCAGAATATACCATATGTATGATTCCTGCTTTGTAAGGTTGGCCTCTTTGCCTTATATTTAGTATTGTTGTTAGCTTCTGACGCGTATGTTCCTGCATTTGGTAAACTGAGTATGACTGAATGGTTTGTGAATTGTATGTAAATAATTTGTATGTAAAGATATTATCCTTTGGTGGAAGATGCTATGAACTTGGAAAATAATTCTGGAAAATCTTGATTAAAAAAAAAAATCTGCTAATTAGCTTTTTTTTTAAAGTTTATCTGGCTCTTTCAATGCATAGACTCTAGTAGATAAAATAGGAATGAGTGTTAATATTTTTATAGCTTAGATTTGGACCATATCTCTGTGGATGTTAAGTCTGTGGATCAAAGCAGATAACCTTGCTTGCCTAGAAACTTGCCCTATAGTCCACAGCTCAAAATGTAACCAGCCTTATCTGCTGTTTAACTAAACAAATTGTGTAATTTCCTTCCCCCTGTCATATTTTTTCTTTTGACCTATCATATTCCTTACTGTTTATGTGAATTACACTAACTCTGGACCCCAGCACATTGAAAAGCTAGTTTTTCAGTAGTCCCATTGGTCTTTCTCAACCAATCCGATAGCAAAGAGAAGATGAATGAGGAAATTGTAGTAATGAGAAATCGGCAGTTTTGAATCACTTTTGAAGTTAAAAATAAATAGTAAGTATCCATCTTGGTTTGGGAGCATAGTTTTACTGAATAAAAATACAATTAAATTTAGCAATGTGTAATTACTTGTGTTGAGAACAGTTAATTTCAGTCCTATACCCCAATTGGTTTGCTTATCAAAGGTACACTCAGTCTGTGGAGGGGAATCTCAGCAGTGAAAGTCTGGTGGTACATGTGAAAGGCCAAGTTGTATTGTAAGGTGAACAACAAATACCTCTTCTATAAAAAAAAAAATAATCAAATTTTAGCAAATATTGCAGCTATCGTACTGATAAATGAGGGGCTGCCTAGTCTCAATACTGGGCTTTATTACATGTTTCACCTAACTCCAGAGTGCAAATTAGAGGTCATCTGCTGGCCAACTTGGAGATACCATAATTGTATCTGAAGAGTCTGAAAGAGCTTATTGAAAACTAAGCTATCAAAAGACTTCAGCCTGGATTACTCTTAAATACTTTCTATCTGGTAAAAGGAGTATTTGTATTGAAATAACCCCTGCAAAAATCAAAGACGACAGTACTGTGATGGGCTATTTCCTTCCTCTGCTATTTTAATGTTGAGTTTAGTGAACAGTCTCATTTCACTGTATGGTTCTGTGAAAGTCCATGCTTCTTTGTATCCTGTTACGGAAGGCCCACATTTACGGGCAGTGTCAGTATATTCTGTAGGTGTAGGGTTTGTTTTTTCCCCTTGCAAATGATGCCGAGATTAGTATCGTTACAAGTATGTATTTTATTTGTAGTGCGTTATGCTTTTATATAAGCAGTAAGATGCCAGCAGAAAGTTTGCTTTTTCTGGGAATTAGTGTTGGTTCTCCATTGGTTTTAATATTAAATGATATGCAGTAAAGGCAATCACTTATTTTTATCAGTCTTGTCATATGTATGTATCCTGTGTAATTTAATTTGCATGCAGTACTGCATTCAAAGATGTGAACTACAGTTTATCATAAATTAATGACTTGTAACATGGCATTTAATAAAGAAATATATTTCCCAGAATGCAACAGATTCTTGGTCCTTTTATAGTAAGTTGGGTACATTTTTACTGATTTTAATGGATTTCACCTATTGATGAAATGAGAGTTAGGTAGAAGATTCATAGAGGGAATGTAGATCTAATGCTGTTTTTCCCCCCCTCCCCCTCAGCCTTCTTTGAATCCTGGGGGAAGACAAGCCTCTGATGTAGTGCTCTTAAACCAGTGGAGCATTCGAAATTATGATGTACAACGTGGGGACATTGTGTCATTGGTGTAAGTAATTTTGCATACATTTCAATACTTGCTTATATAAATATTGAGCTGTTGGTATTTAATATTTAATCTAGAATACTGTAAGTTTATGTATGAACAAGGAACACGAAATTTTTAATAATGCATTATTGTTTTTCCTGTAATCAGTTTTCAAAACTCAGATGTTCAAAGAATGTATTACCAAGTTTTTACTTGAAAGGAATGCAGCGTAAGATATTATGTGATACAGTATATATGTGTACCAAAGCTGCAAGAAAAAAAGAGCTGTGAGATAAAGAGAGGAAATAGATAAAGCATTATGTGGCTTAATGGCTATGCAATCATATTTATGAGAAAAATAGTGTTTCTTTACCAATTAATACTAATTTTTTTTTTTTCCCCTGAAGAAATCTGGCTACTGAATAAAATTTCAAATAAGATCACAAGAATTCAACTGTTTCCATAAAGGACAAATGTAGCAAAAAAAAAAAAAAAGTTTTAAAATTATAATGGGGAGGTCTATGTATCAAGCCAAAAGGTGGCAGTGTTTCGCTGTTGAAAATGTTCAAGACCAACAGAGGACAGAAACTCCATTCCAGCCTTAATGTAATAAAGAAATGGAATGTCAGTGTGCATAACTGACACAATGATATAATACATACTCATACTACATGCTTGGATAGTTTAAGCTTAAGGTTTTAGTTTTGTAAGTGAAATGCACAGTACGTAGATTGTAACAGGACTGGAAGCTATATTGTCTGGCTTTCTTTTTGTCATATATCTCTTCTAATTGTCCCATGGTTTTCTCTACCTCTTCACTGTAGTGGTAATTTGTATTACCTGTACAGTTTTTCACTACAAGCTCTTAAAGCAAACTCTCTCATGTTGTCTTCTTTTGTTAGAAACTTAAAATTTACTTTATGGTCTATCTTATTTTCTGTAAATGGTCTAGCTACAAATATGAATTTATTCATGTATGCAGCACCTAATAATGCAGAAGGACTCCAATTTCAGGTCACTTAATGACTGCTTGTAAAATTTGATTCTGCCTGGGTGTGCAACTCTCTGCCTAAGTCATGCTCTGGTGATTGTTTAAATCAGTGAATGTAACTGATTAGTAATTAATAGACTGAACAGAAGATGAGCATGTCTGATCAGAAAACAATATGAATAGCTTGATTCTTATTATACTTCTTGAAGGCTTGTGGTACCATTTGAGCCATCTGCATTGATTGCTTTCACTTCGCTGTATGTTTGGGCATAATAACTAAATTAATACTTTAGATGCTGTGTTTTTTTTTGTATGTTTTGAAAATTTCGCCTATTACTGATGGAACTTATGTTACACCCACATGGAAGAAGTCACATTGTATTTATGCACTGTATTGAGAATTTTCTTAATATTTGGGGAAATACACTGAATAATCTGACTAGAGAATTCAAAAAGCGCTTTAAGAACAATACAAAGGAAGTTAGAAAAATGTAAAAATAATCTATTGAATAGTTTTGATATGAAAATACTGAAGGATATTTTATATATCAGTAACAATTTTTAAGCTGTTAAGTACTTTATGATACGGGTTTGTTAGAAGCAGTTTTGGCCTACTAGTTTACTGTAATGTAAAGGTTTTAATTAAGTTGTAGAGACTTGCAGGATATAGTATGTGGATATGATTTTGCATTGATGTGAGTTGTTTGAGACTTAACTTTTGGTACATGAGGCTTTTATTGTGTGAACAGGTTAATATTTTTATCCTTTTCATTTAGATTGTTTACCTAGATTTCTATAATTCATTAGTGAATAGATGTCCTGTGTGTATGCATGAATTTTACTCAGTGGTCCTCAGAGGATCTGGCTGATTTAGGCAAGGTGTGAGCAGGGAAGACCAGTCTCCCATCAGCTGCTGCTTTTTCTGTTCCTGTCAGAAATTCAGACGAGAAAGTATAGGTGTGACTGAGATAGGCAGATGGATATGAAGACCTTCTTTCATTTCCTACTTGGCTGCTTAACATTTATCCACTGTCTCGTCTTTGCTGAGTCATAGTAGAAAATAGCTATCAGGTTGTGGGAGAATGGCGTTTTGCAGAGCAAGAGCTGAGGTCAAATTTTCCCTCACGGCAGCCTGACCGGGGCCATCCAAGCTCTTTGCTTTCTTCATACTGTCAGAAATACTGTGCCATTCTGGATGGGTGCTCTTTCTATTACAGCTCTTAAAAGGGATTGTTGAGATCCCAACTGACAAAGTCCATTGTAAGTAGATGGCCAACAGCCAAACCTTGGAGCAAAGATATGAGTTAGTCTGGGTGGCCCTGGATGCCTCAAGAGGTGATCAATCAGTCTGTGATTATGCTTGTGATACTGCTAGCAGATGCAAAAGGTTTTCCTCTCTCGTCCAATCTCGTTCTTGACAAAGATACATGTTTTTGTTATTTGCTGGCTTTGACTACAAATGAGCACCCTTTCCCCAAGAACTTGATGTTGTTTATGTGCCGTTAAGGTATTAAATAAAGACTGCATGTTTATGGAAACGTGTGTCATGTGTCTGTCACCCCTGTCTCTGCATCTGATGTAGATGTAACTATGCATCACAACCACAGCTGTGAAATTAGCCACTGTGCGTGCACATGTGTTCATATACCTGGTTTTAGACATAATATTTACAATGGTATTAGTCCTTAAAAGCGTAACATTAGAGTCAGATAAAACCAATGGAAAGAAGAAGTTGGTATCAAAGAATGTTTTATTTACTTACAGTTTAGTGTTTTGCTAATAGTTAAATCTTACCTTTAGCTTTTTAGAATATGTTTTAAGTTAACATTTTATTTTAACTCAAATTCATCCTTATTGATGAATTCTTCAGAATTAAGAGAGCTCAGTGTTACATGTTACAACTCTTGGACTCACAATTTTACATTAATTCAGAACTAGGGAAAATTATCATCATCATCATCCTTAATTAGATCACTTTCTTGCATGCTTAATTTAGATACTGCTATATTACTGGGACTTACTAAAATAAAAATCAAAACAGGAATATTTTTTCAATAAATTAAATAATTTCCATTATTGCATGTTCCTGAATACTATCTTTGCATCTCTTATACAGATGGAAAAAAAAAGTGTGTTATTTTCTTTGTTTGGAGATGCATTTATTTCTCTTCAAAGAGAGAACATAGTTACGTGGCACATGAGGTCATCTTTAAGAGATAAATGAATGCATATTTTTGCCAGGTGGACTCGATCTTTCAGTAACTTTAGTGGTGAAACTGGCATTTTGTTCCGTAAGAGCTCTGCTGAAGTAGTTCCCAAGAGTTATGTAGAACTTTATCAGATATTGCAGAATGAGTTATGAGTAGGCTTCTCCCAGCTGGTTTTACTCTGTAAAGTTTGAGTGCCAACAGCATTGTAGCTGTAGGGGTATGCATCACAGTGTGGGCTGTACAGCTCATGCAGGTCCTTTGGAATATATGATGCAAATGCTCTTCCTGGTACTAATGGAGATGGTGCTCTTCTATTGCATATTAATGGACATTTTTGCCAACTTGCCTATATGTAATTTGGTTTCTACTGTGTACAAATGCAGGCACTGTTATAAAAAGATATTGCCAAAGAGTGATTTATAGTTCTAGAATTCATTTTGTTTGTCTCCACTGAAAACCTTATATGCTGATTGTAAAATCATGCCCTGTTTTCTGTCCAAAATTTCTGTCTTAATCTAGAGAAAAAATTGCTGCAACATGTAGAAGATTGCAAAATCATTGTGTGCATGTAGAATGGGTGTTCTGATACAACACATTTAAGCTTTTGAAATGAAGACACAGCCGTATTAATCTAGTCATTTAAAATGTGGTTTTGTTTTTTTTTTTTTTTTTTTTGTTGTTTTTGTTTTTTTGTAAATAAAAGTTTGGACATTGTCTTGTTCTTCAGTTGGTTAATAGGTTTTTAACAGAGGAGTCAAGAATGACTGCAGTATAAATAGGGTTGTTAGATTTTGAATGATGAAATTTCAAGGCTGCAAATATTCACAGATACTAATTTTAGCCTTTGGAGGTTGTGTTACTTCTGTAATAGAGAACAGCTTCTCCAAGGTATGACTGAGAGTAGGAACCTACTTGCTGGGTAGGTTGCCAGGTGTCCCTCCATTTCTAATTTAGAATGCGTGCTTATGTGTTAACTAAAAATAGCTATGCTAATTTAATGTGGAAAATGCCGTTTGTTCTCTACATTCTGAATGGTAACATATTTCTAAAGTTTTGAACTATAACAGCTAAATGAAAATGGGCAGTATATTTAAAAATATGTTTCAAAGGTCAGATATAATAATAAGGAAATAAATAAGTTTTGTCAGCTTCTTGTGAGTTCTTATATAGAGGATAATTGCTTTAAGTACAAAATCAACTTTTACATAGAAAATTCTTTGCCATTTAAAAAACATGTTTCCTATCTCCTATCCTGATGAAGAATATTAAGTTGCTTCTGTCACTGCTTTCTCTGACTGTAAGCTTATGTTTAGGCCTTTTGGCCTGTGTAAGGTTATGTGTGTTTGAGCTCTGAAAAAATCCAGTGCAAATCAGCATTCTGGAGGAAGAATCAAAGTACTGTGCATGAGGTTGTCTCTGCAGCTGTGTCCCTCACTGACATCTGTTCAGAAGTGAGAATTGGAAAAGATAGTTGCCATGATGCTTTTATGTGATGCTTCAACAAGTTTCATCCTATTCACACAAATCTGAATAATCTAGATTTTGAAGGAATGTGATCCTGTTCACTTGATGGATACAAAAGAGTTCTCAAACGGTGCAAAGTGAATACGTCCTATTCAGAAAACATCACTAATTGGAATTTCATTAGTAAGGCTATCCTATTAAAATAAGAATCAGTAAGGAGGTACTTACTGAAGGACCTGCCTTGAATTTGAATCACTAGTTGTAATTATGAAAAGACTTTCTACTAAATTCTGATAGATGTAACATGGATGGATATTTAATGGTTCTTGCATTATTTTTAAGAAAGCTGCTTTCTGACTAAAATACTGAACAACTTTTTATGAATATCCCTGCTTGACCTTCTTAAGTCTTCCAATTTCTATTCTATTTTTGTTTGTACTTAGGTCCCTGTACCAAGTCATCTGTCTTCTGGCAGGTAGGACACTGCAAAGGAGGTTGTGCTGACATAGAAGCTAAATAATCACTTTAGTTTCTGTGCCTCAGTGACCTCAGAAAATCTTTTCCTATTCTGTTCTTTTAGCTGGGAAAAAAACAAAACAAAACAAAACCTCATGTCTTTTCCTGATAAAAATCAAATATGTAATTCCACTTTTATTATCTGTGTTACAATCTACTCTTAGAGTAGATATCATCCTATATATGAGTGTGTTAATACTGTTGGTGAAAGAAAGACTTGCATCTTGTATTTATAAAGTAAGTAAAATCCTTTTTCTAAAGGAAGTTTTCAGATGCTGTACATGATCTCTGGTTTTATTATGAAGTGCTCAGGATGGGTTTAAGTAGGCAATTATTGTAATACTGTGAAAACTGAGCAGTTGTGGACGAAATAAATTGTTGTAGTTAAAGTTCTGATTATTTAATTGAAAGTCTATGGATATGAGTAGGAAGTTTACAAGTTTTGATTGCAAGAATCATTGCTGGAGAGAGTCTGGATAGAATCTTTAGGCCAAAAAGTAATATGGGTGTTACGGCTTTACAGATTCGTTAGTGGTCAAATTGCAATTTGGAGAATTGAAAATAAATATGTTTTCTTTTCAAAAACGTTAATGATGTGGGAGTCAGTTAGATGGTGTGGGCCATTTGTGAAAGAGGTGTTAGCTGATTGAGGAGACTACTGTATTGTTGTAAGTGGTGCCAGTGAAAACTTCATACTCTGGTTGATTTTGATTTTATTGGCCTTGATATTGAATTAAGTACCTTGCTAGTGAATTAATACACAAATTGTTGATTGTTGAATATTTATTAGAGTATCCATTAGAATACTACGTTGAAAGTTTATCACTGGACAAAAAGGAACATTAAGTTTATGTACATTAAGATAACATAAACCAGAATGTGGTCAACTGGTAATTAAAAAAGAAGAAATTGTCATTCTATCACAGCAGCATATGTCAGATAAAAATATTAAATCATCATCAGGTACTTGATAGGATGTAAGTGGATCCATAACTTTTCTGTAAGATCAGTAATTGTGGCTGTAAAAGCAAATATTGAGATTTAATAACAGGAGACCATTATCTGAATCAGTTTTTTTATTCTAGTTAGCATTCCTTCAATAAATTTATGGACATCAGCATGGTTGTAAGAAATTCTGTTTAAAATGTGAATTCCTATTAGTTAGAAAATAGCTTAATGATTATTAATGATTCCATCAGTTCTTATCTGAGATATTGCTCTTATAGTGGCTGAAAGGTACAACTTGGAAAAACTATAAATCACTATTACCATGTCTTTTGCTGCCCTTTTTTTTTTTTCTCCTGCATATAGTCTTTGATTTTCATTTCAAATGCAGCATTGCAGGACTTCACAAAAATAATTAAAATCAGATGCACAGTCTGTGATATTTGTTTGAATTTACTGCTGAGATAAATAGTATCAAATTTCACTTAGACATATTCTAGTGAACGTGGAGGGAAATTACTATCTTGCCAACCTCCGTACTGATTCAAGCATCAAGATCAAAGCTGTTCTATACAAGATCATCTACAGATCTGTTCTCCTTGTTTTAAGTATTTTCTTTCTTGGCCCATCTGTATTCACACTGGAATAACTGCGAGTTGTGGTTATATTGCAACTCAGCCAGATTAGAATGTGAATAAGAAGAAATCACAATTGAAGTTTCATCCAAATAGATGTGTGTGTGTATATATACATATATATGTATATGATTCTTTGAAAGTAAGAAAGGAGAAAAAGTGATTCTGTTGTGATCTTTAAATGGTAAATTTATCAGATAAGGTGTTTGTAGCTAATTAATACATAGGCAGGACCTATGTTCTGCTGAAGGGAGACTGTTAACAGTAATTTTCAATGTCAAAGCAAAATTAATTTATTCATACAATTCAGTTATTTTTAATTCACTTTTTAGTGATCAGGCATATGAAGAAGGGAAGGGGAAAAATCCTGTTCTAACAATGGAAATAATTTTTACCTGCCTTTATTCAATAGAAAAGGGAACAGCATAGGATAGGTTTTTATATTGTTCTTGATGATGGACAGTCATAGTATGTTGGAGATCCTGGGTCTAAGTGGACAGTTTCTTGAAATGTTGCAGAAATTACAGCCATGCTTTGATTGGCTGGAAAGCTGCCTCTGATTCTATAGCTCTCTGCCTTACAGTGTGATGGCTGACTGCCCTGTGATGGTCATGTTGAGCAAAAGGAGCTTGAAGCCTGCCTTGGCTTAGAAGAATGTCACTTTTGCTTTTTGAAATATTTATAATTTAGGTGCTAGGAATTTGCTTTGCTTTCAGCAGAATCTGGTGATATAAATACCTGCTGTGATGTATGTACTGAAAGGTAAAA